TCGACAGCCAGAGGATCGACTGGATAGAGAGATTATGTGGTTGGCCCCTGCAGAGGAGTTTGCAGCTACACGACGTCTAGGGCATGCCCGACTCAACATGCAAAATATGTCATGGCGCGTTGAGGAGAGTGTATCCCATGTTCTGGAGTTCCAAGGGATCGTTGGCGTTCTTGTTGGATTGCTATCGCTCGGGGCCATCTCCAATGGGCAAAGCGAACGCACCGTTGGCGCCATCATGCCCGTCGTGAATCCTCACGAGAAGAATGGCTTAAGCGACGTGTTCTTGGAAGCCCCCGAACACAATATTGTAGTGGCCTTCGGCCAGTGCCGCCGACGCGGGGCGCTCCGACTGATGTGATCCTTCTTCGCCCTCGTCCCTCCTCTCTTCCCCCCCCCCTCCTCTCGCTCAGCATTTATCCAGTGGCCGTCGGCCTATCCCGCCACTGTGCGTGGGTGGTGGGTCAGAGGATGCTGGTTGGGATCTCGTGGTTGGCTGGGACTTCTGGGGGCCTCTTGGGCGCCTCTTGGGGCTTCTTGGGGGCCTCTTGGGGCCACTGGAGGGCCTCTTGGGGGTCTCTCGGGAGCCTCTTGGGGCTTCTTGGGGGCCTCTTCTGCGCCCCTTGGGGCCTCTTGGAGGCCTCCTCGGAGCCTCTTGGTGCGGGAGGGGTGGCGCTCGAGTTCGGAGCCCCCTCGGAGGCCGCGATCCTTGTGAGGGGTGTAAAAAAACGCATCCGCCGGAAACTCGCCCCCCCCCCCCCCCCCAACCCCCCTTCCCCGGCAGAGCCTCCCCGGCCCCCCCCCCAGAGGCTGAGGCTCAGCCTCGAGGCTGTAGCTGAGACCCCTTGAAACTCACGCGCCGGATCGGCGGATTTGAACAAATCTCTTAAACAGAATATTGAGACAGATAAGATGCGAGTCTTCGAGTGGGGTCTGTCTTTGTCATTTCTGCTGCGACTATTGGCCTTGGAATGGCTTCAGGAAGCCTGCAGCGCATCGCGAGCAGCAGGCCCCAGAGAAGCGCCTCCTGAAACAGACTGGCAAGCGCTAGATAGCCCGGCAGGACCATCGCAGGCAACATCGACTTCCAGTACCTGAGCTGGGACGAGAAGGGCGCGTTGTACCGCGGGCACTTCTACCTGCGCCGCGGGCGCGACGGCTTCCCGGCAAAAAACTGCGCCCTCCTTGTCTTCCTCCTCCTGCTGGTCCAGCGGCGGACGCCGCGGCCGCAGGTGCAAGCGCGGGCTCGCATCTTATTTCGAGCCCCGCGCCGACGCCTGCCTCCTCCCCAGGGCTCTCTGGTGGACCACCAGAGGTGCCTGCTCCGCGCGCCTCGCCCTGTCGCTCGCAGACGTCGAGATTGCATCGCGTCGTGGGCGAAGAGCTCGACTTGCATCGAGCTGCCGCAGGGCGGTTGGCCCTCGGCAGCAGGGCGAGAGCTCCTCGGGCAGCTGATCGAGGAACATCAAGTAGATGAGGTACGAATGGACAGCGCTGTAGATGCAAGACATGCAACCAGCGTTTCAGATGCAGAGAGTGCGGATATTGTTTTGGAGGCTTCTGGCTGGGGCTAGGATGTGGCACGTGTTCGGGATGTTAGACTTGTCGGACTGCGCGGGCGCGTAGCATTGCGGCGTCGGGACTGCCTGAGTGGTTTCAGAAGCTTGTTTTCCCGATCTCAAATGTCTGGACTTCCCGCGCCCGATCAACCACTCGCGGCCCCGGCCCATATATGCCCGTTTTGCCGCCAGACATTCCCGAACGACCCGACGGGCATGTTAGAGCAGCATGTCCGTCGGAAGCGCGCGCCCGCACATGCCATGCGACATGTGGTCGACACGTGCACGCATGGCCATTCGTGCAAAACTTCGCGAACATTCATGTGCCGCCCATTGCGGAACGCATTATGTCCAATGCCCTTTGCAGTCGCCCCCGGGGCCTGGTCTATACTCGCCGCTGCCGCCCGGCTTCGGGGTTTGCGTGGTGCGTCGCGGAGTGGCGCAGCCTTCCAGCAGACACCGCGCTTCCCCATTGGCGCCCCTCCCCGCCCATTTGGCTTGTATCTCGCCGCTGCTGCGGCTCTGGCTTTTGGCGCCCTGTGGCGACATGGTCAGACTGCACCTGGTCACTGTTGTCCATGGTACCTGAGCTCGAACGCGTGGCTTCCAGCTCTCTGTTCCTGGTAGCGCGCCGCTTACTGGGTTGCCCGACAGTGGAGGCGCTCCGCTAGTTTGATGCGTGGTCGCAGGTACGTCCCGATCATGCTTGCCTGGCGTGCAGGATTTAATTCCAGCTGTGGCGTCGTTCAGCCTCCGTCATGCATTTCGCACCAGCTACCCTGGGCGTCTGCAGACTACCCAACCAGCTCCCCCCAGCAGCAGCCCCCCGGCTGCCGCTTCTGAGTGCTGGCCCGGCCGTTTCGCGCGTGGCTCGGTCGTTAATTAGGCTGGCCCGTGCCCCGGACTACCCTCTCGTCGACTGCTTCACGCGTCCGCCCGCGACCAAAAAAAACACCCCCACCAGCCCAGTCGCAAACCCATGAGAGTTGTTGGGACAAGAAGAGACACATGCAGTGAAACATAGCGGGCAACCATGGTGAACAGCGAGATCTTTGGGAGCAAGGGGGTGGTTTTGGAAGGCATCTTCGGGCAATCCTTGGGGCCCAGAGAAGGAGGAAGACGACGACGACGACCACGACGACGAGGAAAAAGAGGAAGGAAGATGATGAGGACGAGGACGAGGACGAGGAGGAGGAGGAGGACGACGACGACGAGGACAGAGCCCTCACATTCGCCTCTTGGAACCCTGTTGAGATTCTTTTGGGGGGTCTCGGGGTCCTCTTGGGGATCTTTTGGAGGTTCCTGCAGGTTCTTGTGTCCCTCTTGGAACCATCTTGGAGGTCCCTTGGAGCCCTGGGGGGCTCTTTGGGGCCATCTTGGCGGCCATCGTTCAAACGGGGGGGTCGTAACGTTTGCTCCTCCCTTTCCCCCTCCCCCATGGGAGGCCAACTTGGGCCCACAACCTTAGTAGTGTCAGTGATTGTGGCCTTCTCGCTGAGGCCATCTTGGACGCTCTAACCCCTGTGTCCCTCCCGTCCAGACCCATGGAGGGGGGGAGGTTACCTCCTCGACGGGAGGAGGGTTTTTTTTCCCGTGAGAGGAAGGGAACATTCGCTAGACCACCTTAGCCCAAAGGGATGGTGGAATGATTCGTTGGTAGATGTCTTGGATAATGGTTTTCTTAACTAGGGGTATTTTGAAAACATCCGTTGTCATTGAGGATGTCCCAGACAGCCTCTCCCAGTCATCGCTCTTTGGTCGGGCATCCGCCGCACGGATTCCTTTATTAAGGGTTCCTCCAGCAATGGTTCTGCAGTGAGGGCTCATGTGGCAAGGCTTCTTTCGACACAGGAAGTTGTAATGAGGATACCGTTGGTGCAGTAGGAAGGGCTCTTCAGCAATGGTTACTTCGTGCTGCAATATTTGTTAGTACGGATCGTTGCCGCCCAGCTTCCTTAGCAAGAGTTCCTTTGGTAATGGTGATGTTCCATTAGGAAGGGTTCCTTCATAACGGATGTATGATGAAAGTTTCTTTTCAGGAGGTTGTCTTATTCACGCGTATCCCCACCAGCTTGTTCAGACATGTTGCCCATGAGAGCAGACGTGAAAATGGAAAACCATACACATGTAGCGAAACAGAGCGGGCAACCAGGGTGAACAGAGAAATGGCTGGGAGCAAGGGGGTGGCTTTGGATGGCCTCTTCGGGCTGTCCCGTGGGCCCGGAGGAGGAGGAAGACGACGACGACGACCACGACGACGACCACGACGACGGGGAACAGGACGAGAAGGACAAGGAAGACGATGAGGGCAAGGACGAGGACGAGGAGGAGGAGGACGAGGACGAGGGCAAGGACGAGGACGAGGACGAGGACAATGAACAAAGAGATCTCTGGGATCAAGGGGGTGGCCTTGAAGGGCCTCTTCGGGCCATCCCTGGGGCCCGCGGGGGGGCGAGGGCAGGAGGATGAGGAAGAGGAGGAGGAGGAGGAGGAGGAGGACGAAGAAGAGGTGGAGACAAACCGTTTCTTAGGGCCATCGTGGCACGGTCTTGGGGCGCTCTTGGGGCCCTCTTGGAGCTCTCTTGTAGGCCGTCAGTTTAAGGGGGAGGTCCCCGATTTCCGCCACCTCCCCAAGATCCCACGAAGTCACATCTTTGGGCCATCTTGGGCCGCTCTTGGGCGCTCTTGGGGCCGTCTGGGGCCCCTCTTGGGCCTCTCTTGGGCCAGCATAGGACCATGTTGAAGCCTCAAAGCTGCATCGGATGCGAAAGGGCGAGAATGCAAAATTATTGATTTACAATTATGTGTTGATGGATTTGGGCCTCTTGGGGGGTGCCCTGAGGGAGCTCCGAGAGCACTTGGAACAGTCTTGTGGCCCTCGCCGGGCCTCTTGGAGGTATGTTGGAAGCTGGATTGAACCATCTTCGGCTATCTTGAGCCGCCTTGGAGGCCATCATGGAGCATCGGAGTCCCTCTTGGAGCCATCTTGGGCCATTTTGGACGCTCCAACCCTTCCGTTCCCATTCCAACAAAGCCTCAGGGAGGGGAGGGGGGGTACCCTTGCCAGAAGGGTGGAGGGTCTTTGGAAGAGGACAGGAAGAGCTCGTTTGGGAGAGGCCTGGTGGGATTCCTGATTATGGATTTGTCACGTGGACTTTTTAGGATGGAATCTCAAGGACTCCTTTGCCAACTGTACTTTCGTGAGGGAACCTTGGTAAGCTGTCCTTCAGTGAGGATCCCTCAGCGGTAATACAGGACGTAAGGCAAATGTTGTGAAGACTTCTTTCGCGGGAATTCTTTTTGTAAGGGTTTCAGTATCAAGGGTTCCTTCGCAAGGGCTGCTCCAGCACAATGGCTCCTGTGCGAGGGGATTATCCAGCATCGGCGTCTTAAAATCGATTCGTTTAATCAGATGTCGTGGCGCTGTTTTGGGGTGCTGGGGAGCGCTTACTGCTTACAGTCCACGCTAGCAATCCCGGCCTTTTCCCCAAGAATCCCCCAACCGCGACCCGTCTGAGCCCCTGCGGCCCGCCCCGGGCGCACCGGCCGCGCCCGTGGCCGCCGTCCGCGCCACGGCCCCGTCGAAGCGGCAGTTGCTGCGCCACGTCGTACCACGACAGCGCCTGCTGCCACCGCCCGGCCCTCTCGCACATTGCCACGCTGGCGAGGTCGTGGCGGGAGGTCCCATTCCCGGGGAGAGGGGTCTGGGCTCGGGCCTCAAGATACGAGGATCAATGCAAACGGGGGTCAGCCAGAGCGCCAGATCGTGCTGGACCCTGCAGGGCCATGGCTGCATTGACCCAGGCTTGTGTGCAGGATCCCCCAGGATCTTGGCAGGATCTTCCAAAGCCTGGTTGGCCCGGGCTTGGATTAACCCAGTTCAGTAGATCCCGATGGGCTTTCGGTGGTCCACGCCCGGGCGCCTGTCTGGGCGCAGCGGGCATCATGACTTTGGGCCGTCAGAGCACTTCGGCCTCCCTCTCGTCCCGCTCCTGGGGCCTGCCATCTGCAGCGCGAGCGTTGCGTGGCCAGCATCTCGTCGCCTTCGTGCTGGAGGCAAACCACTGTTGGCCGAGGCGGTCGCGTCGAACAGAAGGCACCCCGAAGTGCCCCAGAATCCCCTGAGACACCCTCCCCCCTCCTCCTCCTCCTCCTCCTCCTCCTCCTCCTCCTCCTCCTCCTCTTGCTCCTACTCCTGCTCCTGCTCCTGCTCCTCCTCCTCCTCCTGCTCCTGCTCCCTCCTCCTCCTCCTCCTTCTCCTCCTCCTCCTTCTCTTCCTCCTCCTCCTCCTCCTCCTCCTCCTCCTCCTCCGCCTCCTCCTCCTCCCCCTCTTCGAGGAATGAGGAGGCTCCTCCGCCAAGTGTGACACGAATGCGAGGTGACGTATCTCTATCCTTGCGTGCTGTTCGTGTGTAATTGCGCGAAGCTGTGCCCTGGTTCTAGACCCAGCGCCAAGCGATTGCCGTTCAGGCTTCGCGCTAACTTTTTACGCATTGATTGGTAAGTTTACCAGCTTGCGTTGCCGTTTCGGGCCCTCTCTTGGTCTCTCTCACCGCGCTCGCGGCCTGCCGTTGTATCACTGCTGGGAGCTGAGGCTAGACGTCAACCTACGACCGAATCAAGAAGGGTGAGGATGATGATGATATGTTTGGTGCTGATGATGAGGGATCGAAGTTCGAGGGCCACGTTCTTCCACATGCCAGACGGATCTGTAAAATGCCGACCCGACCAGACCATAGTGCGCCTAGCGTCAGCGACAGCAGGAGGAGGAGGAGGATGGGGCGGACCCCCCCATCTACTTCCGAGAACGGAGGATTCTTGAGTGGCGGTTTGGGGGCCGTCGCGTGGCACGATGGACCTCCGAAGCGCGCGGTGCAGCGTCTTGGCATCGCTCGGACGTGTGCATTTTCTCTCGGTGGGAACCATCGAGGAGCTTTTTGGGCCACCTTGCGAGAAACATGCGCGCACGAAACCGGAAAATGCACGAGGAGTGGACGTCCGAGCGATGGCGAGGCATTGACGTCGATTTGGTGGATCCGAGTCAATATCGGTCTGGCCAGTCCGATCCAATTCGATTTCGATATTCTGGCGCTCCGACGCGACCCGACGTGGCGCGGCCGATTTGATTTGATTCCGACCCCGTGCCGATGCGGCCCGATTCGATGCGTGTTTCGACCCAGTCCGATCATTTTCCGATTCGGTGCCAACTGATCCTGCCTCCTCTTCGCCGGGCAGGAGTCGGGGGCCCCTAAAACGGTGTCACACCGCGTCGTGAGCCAGTGGGCATTCGCGGTCACCACGCGGCTTTGGGACTGGAGTCGCTGTCCAAAGACGTCTCGGGCGAACGGGGCCTGCGAGGTCCCAAGACCGTGCGGCGACGGACCGCGCCGTGAGGTTGTTGGAGATGCCGAGGTCGCAACGCGGTCCGTCACCATGCGGCTGTGGGACCCCGCCAGGAGGAAGAGGAGGCGGAGGAGGAGGAGGAGGCGGAGGAGGAGGAGGAGGCGGGAGAGCCATGGTGAAGACGGCCACCGCTGAGGCGATTGCGGCGGCGAAGAAAGTCTTGGCCGAGACGACCTCAGGCCTCCGGGGGGGCCAGCTGCTGCCCTCGACCGCCGCCGGCCGCCCGCCGCGGGGCGGGGTCAGGGCCTGCGGCGAGAGCCCGGTGCTCGGCGGCGACATCCGAGCTTCGGGGGCGGCAAAGAGGCGGGTGGTGATTGAGAGGGGGTGGATCCGCCGGCCATGATTTGCACCCCCCCCCCCCCTTGGACGCCCCCTTCTTGGCCCCCCCCCGACCCTGCCCTGGCCGGTCAACTGTTCAGGTAGCTCGATTGGCGGCGGGGGGCAGGATTCGGAATTCGGTGGCGAAGGCCGAACCCTGCCCCGGCCCCCCCTCCGATGCAGGAGGATCGATGGTTGGTGGGGGCAGGGCTCGGATGTCGCCACGCAGGTGCTCCACGAGGGAAGAGGATGGACTCAGAGGGAGGTCGGAGGTTTTCGAGGTCTTCGAGGTGTGAGGTTTTTGGACGTGCCCGTCGGTTCTCAGCGGTATTGCACCATCGGGATACCTGCTGGCGGCTGCGCCTCGTTGAGAGTTCTTCGGTCGTGCCCGGATTGTCCCGAACGGCGGCTGGAGAGCCGAGTGATGGCCCGAGATCCGTGCACCCTGATGGCTTCAGTCTTCAGCCCCTCGGCCTCACCAGGCGCATGTATAGGAGAACAACATCATTAACAGGAAGGGGGGCTCGGCGCAGATTCAAGACATCCGCGCGGAGCTCCGAAAGGTCATGTTTATGCCGTCGCCTCCTCCAGCATTCTGGATAGGACAATATTCGCTTCCCCCTTGGATGCGCTCCTGTGGTTGGGCACGTGCTGTCGGAACGGGTGGAGGGGGGCTTGGAGGAAGAGTAGTAGCAGTAGGAGGAGGTGGAGGGGGAGGTGCAGGAGGAGGGAGGGGGCTGGGGATGGGCAAGCTCCGTTGGAAGGTCGATAATCACCCCCTCTTGATAGATAGCCCATCCAGCGGCGTAACGCCAAGCGAATGCGAGCCGGGACAGGTGCAGAGGCGCAGGCGTACTCGCTGGTGCAGATCAACGTCGAGTCGGGGGTGTCTTCCAGGCTTTGCGCTCCGCGCGGGCGGCCCCCAGGGTGGCGGCGCCCACCTCACCCCGTGCCTGGAGGCTGACGATGGAGGCGAACAGCTCATGGGGGGAGCAGCACATGCACAGTCAGGACTCATAGCAAGGACGCACAGTTGTCCTTACGGTATCTTTGCGTCTTTGCCTCTGCGGCCCGTCCTTCGCGGTTTTCATTGTCAAGCCGTTTTTGCGTCTCTACCGCCCGTCCTTCTTCCTTACGTTATCGAGTGAGTGGCGCCGATGCTCCAGGTCTTCGGCGAGCCTCCCCGGGAAATACGTGCAATGCCCGCCCCTATCGTCGCTTCCGATATGTGGGCATCCCCCCCCCCGCCCAGTCCCCCTCCACGTCCCTCGTCCAAACCCCCCTATCCGCAGGACTGGCCTCTCCTCGGAGGCAGGCCGACCGATATTCCGCCATCTTCCTGCCCCCCCTCCTCCTCTTGCCCCCTGCCCCTCCTCCTCCTCCTCCCCCTGCTCCTCCTCCTCTCCTTTCTGTTCCCCTCTCTCCTCTTCATCCTCCTCCTCCTCCCTCCTCCTGCTCCTCCTGCTCCTGCCCAGCGGGCAGACAGATGGGAGTTATGGGCCACGGAGCTTGACGCACACATATTCGCAGTTTCTGGACCTGACTGTCCGACTCGAGGTGATTCTTTCCCGGGTCGAAACACGACATACACGAGGCATGCAAATATTCAAAGTTGTCCACGAGCGGATCGCCTATATCGACGTCGGCTTCCGACAACGATCGTTCCGAATCGTCACGGCTTACTTCCACATCAAGGGTAAAGCGACCACATCGTGCAAAGCATGTATGACGCGCTTGCAGAAGTCTACGCCGATGTTCACCAACAACACCAAGCGATTATCGTCACAGGAGACTTCAGAGCACGAGTTGGTAAACTGAGCGACGACGACGACGACTGTAGCGCTAGCGGGGCAGAACAAAACGTACTATCGGCAACCACGGGCAGAGCGGATACAACCAGCGCGGCATTTGGTTATGTTTGTGGGCTTGCGCACGCACAGTCGCAATCACATACACGATGTGTTGCAGACACTTCCACACCGTCTTCACGTACGCGATCGTTGGCTCCAAGCACGAGCAAGTACAGATCGATTACACCCTGATGGATGAACGGGCCCGGCATGTGGTTCTGGATTCATTCGCCACGACGCGCCCCGACCTCTGTTCCGACCACCAAGTCGTCCACCTCCGACCAGCATTGGACAACACGACACCCCGAGCACGACGACGAAAACGAGGACAGACTCGCAAGAACAAAAACCTCCCCGACCGAAGTACCCCGACTTCCTACACAATTTGAAGAGACACCTCACAACCATCAACCCGCCAAGTGGCCCACGAGACACCGCTGCGCATACCGAACAAGAACTAGCAGCAGCTAGGAGTGACTACCAACAATACCAAGACCAATAGCAACATCAACATAAACACACCGCTAGCAACGACGACGTGGCAACGCGACAACTGTAGGCACACTTCACGCAGCGCATAAAGACACCGCATACTGACACATCCACTCGAACAGCCGTCAGGAAACGTATTTCACGTGCACACCGATACATCAAGAGGGCTGACAGGCAACCAGTCTTGAACGACATCATCGCTAGCTTCGCGGACTGAACCAGATCTCTGGGACCAGGTCTGGCAAGGGGAAGGACCTCATACCAGCCATGACAGCAGCAGAGGGTTGCAACGAGACAGACCGACAGGGGAATGGCAGACGTCTTCGCGGAGTGCAGCGAGAAATTCCACCGGCGCCCTGAAAGGACGTTTTTGCCTACGCCCAGCAGCTCCCTTGACGCCCCAGAATAAGCAGCAAGGGGACGTCGACAGAGCATTCCACCCTTCACCTACTGCGAGTTGCACCAAGCCGTGAAGCATTTCAAAACGGCAGTTGCAAAGACATGGTTGGGCTCACTGCGGGGTTGCTGAAAGCAGAGGGGGACATTCTCGAGAGGGATGCGTTGATGCTCTTGAAAGACATCGTACACCACTGGAACAGTGGAGACACCACCACCAGCGCCATCTGTAAGCCCAGAGACACACAACCACCAAGCAACTACAGACCCATCGCCACCAGACCGCTACTACACAAACTCATGACCCGAATACTCTGCAACCGACTGGACACTCTTCGACGCATAAGAACTACCAGACCAGATTAGCGACCGCACGTGTTTTAAGCACAGAAGACCACCTTCTCACTGTTACTTTGCGAGCAGTCTTGCGAGTGGCGGCTCCAATTCTGGACAGTTGCAAGAAGACTTCCGACTGCGTCGACCACCTGTGTTTGTGGGATGCCAGAAAAATACCCGATATGCCCGACCCCTACAGCACCTTTGTTGTTGCAAACGTTCGACAGCGATCAGAGACCATTGTAAAGACCGACTCAAACATACAATTCATCATCGAGTGCGACGTCAAGCAAGGGGATCCGTTCAGCTCCTGTTTGTTCAGCGCGCTACCCGAACACATCTTCCAGCCCAGTCAGCCAATTTGGACACGAAAGGTCTTCGGCAAACAAGTGGGAAGTGCACAGCCGACGCGCCTGACTCACGTGGTATTTGTTGACGACGCCTTCCCCCGAGCAGCCAATATTCGATAACCGAAGTGCACCCTACGAGACCTCAAACGCGAAACTGCGACGTGTCGGCTTGAATTGCACGCCGACGAAGCAAACATTTGTAAACACTGTTAGCAGGTGACAGGGGCGATGCGTCACACACGCGGGCATCTACCACGACAAGGTCGAGATCCCCAGCGCCGAGGAGGGCACCAGGTTCTTGAGTCGCATTTTGACATTGCACGATTTCAACCACCCCGGGTTCACCAACATACTTGCAAGTTGAAACAGTTCCGCGACGAGCTCACAAATAGCAGTACCCCTGGCGCAGCAGATTCAGGCTCTTCAGCGGGACGGTGACGCTAACGGTCGTGTATTGCTGCGCAACGTGGACTCACC